CCTAAACCAATGAGAAAAATCTCTTGGGGGAAACATTTAAGCCAAGAGTATAGAGTTATAGAGTACCTTCAACTTCGGAGGTTCACTATACGGCCGACATATCACTGCTGGCTATCTGTAAACAAAGTAACTTTCCTCTGGCATCCCAGACTGAACATGACCACACCTAGGAGGAAATCATACAAGATTTTCCTCTCAACGGCATCCCGCTTGACCTGCTGACAGTAACATGACGGTTTTCTTCTCAGTGACGACCTCGAGGCTACTAAAGGAACAAGTAGTCCTGATATCCTGTGGGTGAATTCTCCGAGAGCCTTGTGTTATATTTTATTGCAGTTTGGTGATGTGTGATCGTCTTAACTAGAGATGTGAGAACTGGTGGTGACAAGTGTGAGTAGTTTGGTGATGGTGATGGTGGGTTGTAGTTGTTGTTGGTGATGGTGGTGGTGGTGGGTTGTAGTTGTTGTTGGTGATGGTGGTGGTGGTGGGATGTAGTTGTTGTTGGTGGTGGTGGTGCATTGGAAGTGTGGGCGTTTTTCCGATTTTATCGAAGTAAAGAGAGGAAGAGTTATTTTGCAAGTTTTCCACCTGAACTAATTCATCTCTCTCACCTTCTCACCACCACCACTACCACCATCCACCACCATGGCCACCCAACTAACACCGGCGTCGACCAACAATGCTGGTCTATCAAGCTGCCTTTATGTACAGCGATTCCCCACACGAGCACCACATTCCTCCCTCAATATGGCTATCTTCCGTGAATTCACTTGACTGCTGTCTATAGTCACTTTTGTTTTTTAAATGGCCTCCAGCCTCCCCCAATAGCCATACCTTCGCCACCATATTATTACCGTAATATTAAATATCTTAATACATAAGTAGCTATCCTAGCTGTGTTGAGTTAGTTGAACCGCAGATCTATGCGGCATTCAGTGACTGTTGCCTCGTAGTCAATATCTGCAACTGTTGTCGGCTTTGGGGCAGATGCTCTCGTTCCCCTAAGGCAGAGCAAAGCCGACCGAAGGACAGTCGACATCTCATCCAGGCTGTAACATAACTTCTGGGCTGCTGCTTCTGCTCGGATATCACCTCCGCGAGTCTGGCGTAGAAGCATCTTGCACTTGGTCCCATCCCACAAGAGGTTGTGAACACTAGAGGAGTGAAGCTGCCTTGATCAACGTTCTGAATTCTCTCCCCTATGCCCTTATCTTGTCGTTTTCGGTCCTCCTGTGTACAGCATCGAGAGCTAAGTTACGGTGACATGCGGCTATGGGATAAAAAATCCTAATGTCGAAAAAGGCTCGCCGTCGCCGGGTCCAGAATCCTCGAGCACTGACGTCAACACGGGCTTCGTTAGATGTGTTTGAAGTCCTATGTTGGAAAATCTCACCGTCCAATGGAAGGAGGGTCGGTTCAACCCTGACATCACGGCAGACTTCCTTCAACATATTTGCAGTGAGATCCCTTACTTCGTCATGCCTCATGCATATGAAGCCCCCCTTCTTGCACACCATGGCGTGATCGACGTCATAGGAAGAGCCACACACGTATTGGGAGGGCAAACCTTCTACTAGCCAACCGTACCTTAGTGCATTGGCATCTGTAAATTCTTGTTTATTGAGACTGAAACTATTTGCCCCTATTGGTAACGTAGTTAACCAGTTCGAGGCGCCCACCTCCTGCGCTATAGCTATTTTTTTGTTTAATTCTCTGGTACTTGCAGCAACAGCTGCTGCAACTTATCACTTTGGCCGTGCCGTCGTTCTGTCGTAATGGACCTTCGAATTTCGTTTACTTCTCTGGTATCCACCTCCCCTGTTGCGTTCTGAGCTATTATGTGGTCCGTGAGATGTTTTAAACCATTTAATTGTATTTTAATTTACTTTAGTCTAAGTCAAGTTTACGGTTTTTTATGTCACTTTCCTCCTGTCAATGTATCTAACTGCTTGGGATAAAGATACTTGGTGCTTAAACCATCGTCTTCAAAGGTTAAATCGCTGATTGGAAAAATATGCCTCTTGATTTTCTTTTAGTGATTGGAAGGTAAAAATTCTTTTTAATTTACCGAATGGAATTTCTATTTACAGAGAGGTAAAGTAATATAGTGTTATATTAAATGAGTGGGAAAGTTACCTTGTGTTTTATTATTATTTTTATTGAGTGGTAAAGTTTTATATAATTTTTTTAATATGGCGAGTTGTAAAGTTCATTAATGTTGTATTTACTGAGAGTTGAAATTACATAAGTGTTAATATACCGAGTGATAAAGTTTATGTATTATTTACTGAAGAGGAAAGTTTCTGAGAGTTTTAGAAACAATGAAATTTGCTTTTGGGTTTGTAAATAATATTGTACATTCCTCGTCTTCCTCGAAATAACTGTGGGATACGTAGTAGTATTTCAGGTAATGGGAGAGAGAGAAAGAGAACGTAAGAGAGAAAGAGAAAGAGAGAAAAAAGGATAAAGGGAAAGCGACAGAGACAGACAGACAAAGAAACAGAGACAAAGAAAGAGAGAGAATCCCCATCAAAACAGCACCTCACAACCCCCGACTCTCACATACAGTACAATACAGTACTCCCAGGTGAGGTTGGTGGCATCCCTCAGGCGGGGGAGACTCTCAAACCTGGCAATCTCCATCCCTTCCTACCTTCTATTCACCTGCCGATCAAATACCTGCCAGGGAGGAAGAACCTAGCCTGTATTCATGAGACACCTCCAGGTGACCCACGTATTGCTGTCGTTTATAAAGCTGATGGTATATTCAAGACCTAATTAACACGTAGTAAATAAGTTTTATCACGACAGTCCAGCCATCGAGAAGTGATAATATGCCTTGAGCTCACCTAAACCACTGTTAATAATTCTCCACTGTACAATTTCTCCAGAGGTGATAGGCGTTGGTAAGGTGTAATATGCCGGGGTGTAAATGACATCGTTCTTCATAGTTTGGATTCTCTCGGATTTATAGCCCATCGTTCGTGTCGATTCGGATTTCTTGTTTTTTTTTACGATGAATTGAGATTCTTTTTTTTTTTTAGTAAACAATGCATTATTTTTGTTTCTATTTAGTTTATTTCCACAGTTCGGATTTTATATTTTGTCATTTTTGTTCTATTTTCTTGTTTATTTTAAGAGTAAATTGTCGTCAAGTCATTTACAATATCTGAGTATTTTCTTATCAACGTACATAATATTTTCCCCAATACAGTAATGTTATCAAGAGTTATTCAAGCACATCACAGTCTCCCTCTCTCTCTCTCTCTCTCTCTCTCTCTCTTAATTGTTCTCCATACTTCTCTCCCTATTATTCCCTCCCCTTTATCATAGTTTACCTGTTCGTGTACCTGTTCCTCTGTTATTAATTGCCCTAATAGCGCTGTGTGTGAATTAATGTTTAATTCTCATTTCACTGTTGCCAAAGGTTTCGCAATTTTGCCTGGTCATTGTCGAAATTGGTAGAAGTAAAATTAAAAAAGAGATATCTATCTATCTATCTATCTATCTGTCTATCTATCTGTCTATCTATCTATCTGTCATATGCACTACAATAATTAACCCGAATGAAACACGAATTGTTTACAATTTATACACAAGATAGATATCATATCATAGTCATTATCATCGTCATTATCATCATCATTATCAACCACTGCTGGGTGAAGGCCTCCTCCGTCCCTCTGTCCCCAGCCTTACTCTCCACTCATCACCTGTATACTCATTTGTACCTGGTAATTGGACTCTTTATAATGAGTCTTTTCCTGTCTCTTGGGTTCCTGATGATGCTCTCATTACTCAATTGTGAATACCTCTATTGTCATTATCAGCATGACAAGATAATAATAATAATAATAATAAAAATAATAATAATAATAATAATAATAATAACACAAATTATATAACACACTTCATGGTCTTCAGTTATAATGAAATTCCTGGCCTTTTTTTCCCCCTAAACAATACAATAATACCTTACTTCAGTACCAAATTACCAATAATATTCCCTGAAATACAAGAAGTATTCTTTACTTCTCGTTACCATAAAGTAAATTGGCAATGTTGAATGACCAGTTGTGTTTTGCAGAGTAATTGGTATTTAAATTAAAAAATAAACAATAATAATGGTAATGTAAATAGAAATATGCACTTGCCTCTCTCTCTCTCTCTCTCTCTCTCTCTTTCAAGCACGCCAATCACACACACACACACACACACACACGCACACACACTCCTCAATGCGTGATGATATGTGGTAGACAGACACACACACACACACGTCTGGCAAAACCTATACATTACATGCTAAGAAATGGGCGATAAATCTGAATTATTTTCAATTACCAGAACTTGTGTATACCTGACTCCGTGATGAACAGTCGCGACACATGCGCTGAACAACACCAATACCACCTGATGAGCACTGAACAATGGTGAACAGTATATTATTGAAATATTGGACCAATTGTGAACACTGGGACAATTCATAATTATGATCAAGGAATAATAATTATGTATAAATATCCTAAACGAGAGAATATAACTGAAATTAACTATTTGAATGTTGAACAACACGAGGGAATCATGAATATTAAGGTGAGATGAACAAAAAACAAAATACATTTAGATAAGTGTTGACAATGATAAAAAAATGGAACTGAACAAATATTGAACAAAGTGAATCTTGAAAAATGTTGATTGGAATGAGCAACACTGAACAAAAAGTGAACATTATGAAAGTGAACATGACGGGATGAACACCGAACTTAGTTACTAAAGAGGCATGAACATCAGAATAAAATGTGAACAAAATAGACAATAGCTTCAATGAACGTAATGAACAGGATAATGAACAAAACTAAGTGAACATATTAAGCATGCAAAAACACCCATCATAATGAATCCGAATGAACAGTGAAGATGGTAAAAAAAATAACACAGTGAACAAGGTTGAACATGGTAAAAGATAATGAACACAGAGAAGACGTTTAAAAACTTACCTCGCGCCATGAGATTCAGTGACGTTGAAGACTGGGATTTAATCTACGGCTGAATAAATCCGCTTATCCTTCTGGACAGATTCCAGATAGTCATAATCATGTGTTCCTTAACTATGATGTTTTCGTTAATCCTCTTGTAATCCTACTTAATCCCCTTTAATCTCTAGACTGTAATCCCATGTAATCCCATATAAATCCCCTGACTGCAATACTATTTAATCCCGTTCTATAATCCCTCGGCTGAAATGCCAGTTAATCCCCTGATTATAATCTTCTTTAATCCCTCTGTTGTTAATCCCAGGTTGGTAATCCCTGTTTTAATCCCACTTGCAAACTGATTGATTAAATATCGTATTTCGTGTCTTAATATCGTGTGAAATGGGATTTTTTCTCAGGATTAATTGGATTAATTATCCTGATGACTCTTCATATATTGTAGACAAAGTTCTTCTTAAAGTCATTGTAAGTTTGTTTACGTCTGTTCTTCAAATGTTCACAGCTGTTATTAAGTTCTTCTATCTTGATAAACTCGCTGTCAGGATAATGTTGTTTTAATTTATTCTACAAGTTCATTGTTCAAAAATATTGTTCTTCAAAATCACTATTAGAACGTTCTTCGGGTTTACTGTTCATAAATATTGTTCTTCCATCCATAGTTCACTGTTGTAATATAATGTTCATTTTCTTCATGCTGAGTGTTCGATGCTAATGTTGTTTTCTTCAAGTTCACCTTTGCAGAAGTTCAGGAGCTGAACTTGAACAATAAGTCTGAGGCAGGATGATGTAGTCTCGTTCACTGTAAAAATTCTTCAAGAAACAGCTGTTCAGAAGAGGAAAAACGGAATAAATTATCAGTGTTTCTCTCTTATCAGTTCACAGTAAAAACACAAACGTCTTTTTTATTCTGGTTTGATAAATAAAGTTTGTTTTGGTGTTTATGCAGGTCTGGCATCAAGCCTATTTTAACGCTAGTGCGACTCTCCATGCGGGGAGGTCAGAGTTCACGTGGAAATTTTTGTTGTAAGTTCACACACACACATATGGACCGAACACACCATGGAGGTGAACCAAGACTCATGTACATACAGACACGTAGTATATGTCACCTCCACTGTCTTATCTCCCGCGGTGCCGGGGTGACACTGATTGTTACTCTGACGGCACGGGAACTTTACCCGCGCGCTTCTGCCTAAGTTCTCGTACGGAGAGCCACTGTTCAATCCCTTTCACGATGAGGCTTTTTAGTTAATGCCCTTCAGGATGGAGGTAGTACTCTTGGTAGTGTGTAATTTACAGATAACACTGCAATGACTAGCGATGAGTTGCAGCGTGCGGCGTCGTTTAACCCGTGCGTCTGGCAGCGAGGTGGTGGCACCGGCACCACTCAGGTGTTTTCGGGCACCTGTGGCGCCAGACGTGTTGCTTCTGTCATGGAGGTCGGTCGCCGCCTCTCCCGCATGCCTCACCTTACTTCCTCGCTGCGTCAGACAAACACCAGTTCCTTAACGCCACTAAGTTAACCAGAGCAGCAACTTTCCTCGCCTGACGCACAAGTTTCACCACCATAACTCTGAGCGTCATCTTATCTACATCTTATCTCTGAGTCGAGGAATCAATATACTCGTGAAATCTGAAGGAGGGTTTAAAGGGTCACTCAACTGCCCTAGAGACAGTCTGGCTGGGGCCTGCCTCTCATGCCCGTGACGTCCTAATGGTCTCCACATCGATGATGACATGAATGACGTCACTTTAATGGTTCACAATGATAACGTCATATTGGAGACCCATGTCATGGTTATCTGACCCACCCTAAGAGCAGATCCTTGATGGTGAAAAGCTATGAGTGCTCTCTCTGTCTGTCTGTTTATGCCTGCCGTCTGTCTATGTCAATATATGCAGGTACCGCAGCTTCCTCTATATATTCCTTCACTTTATTAACCACACTCCCGCCACCTCCATCATACAGCGTGTTGTTGATCCCTCTCGGTGACCCAGGTAATGTACCATCCAGGTGCCAGCCCGAGACACTGTTGGGGTGAGCTGTTAACTGACGGCCTGTGCTTTGTTTTTTTTTTAAGACAGACCTTGACCACTCGGGCTAGTTTAGATAGCGAATTGATAAGGGGCGCTGTGAGTCAGTGTGTGTGTGTGTGTGTGTGTGTGTGTGTGTGTGTGTGTGTGTGTGTGTGTGTGTGTGTGTGTGTGTGTGTGTGTGTGTGTGTGTGTGTGTGTGTGCGTGTGTGTGTGCGTGTGTGTGTGTGTTAATATTATTGGTAGCAGTTACAGCAATCAAGTCAAAACATAAACAAGATAAACAAGAACAAAAACTACCTGTCTTAATTAATCTAAGTGACGAGACTGGCCCAGGTAGAGACATTGATGAAGGTAATCCAACGCATCTCTCCAGACGTGACGAATAACACTAATCAGAAGAGACAGTCAGAGAAAAACATCAAAGACATATCACCAACACCTCAACGCACTGATTCTCACTTGGTCATCATAGACAAAATACGTCGATAAACGAGGAATATCTCCCCCTACACACCACTTTCCTCCTTCCCTCCTCCCTCCTCCCTCCTCCTCCTCACCCCTCCCTTCTCCCTCCCCCAAACGACTACCTTGGTATCTTGAGCCAGTTTTAATTACTATCACACCTGCGTCACTTCAAAGGTTCTTGTGTATGTGTGTTCGCAAAAGAAGGATTTTGATGTGTGTGTTTGTGTGTGTGTTTGTGTGCCTCTCTCTTTGAAGAAATCGAAGATATTGAAGGGATTTTTTTCTTTTAGTTGTCAGGTGAGGTTTATATGTTCCATTGTGTAATATTTATGAAAGATATATTGAAAAAAAAATATTTTATTTATAATTATTTTCGCTTCTAATACATTTATTATTTTATTATGATTTTAATTTTTGAACATATTAAAAAAATTATCAAAACATTTTTTAATTTTTGCCCCCTGGATTTATTTGTTTTTATTTTTTTATTTTTTTATTTTTCATTTATTTTTGGGGGCCTCGTCTTAAATAGAACATCACTCAGTATTTTTTTCTTTTAAAGAGATGGAATCTTAAACATAAAGCTTAACTCAAAACACCTTCACAAGATCTGAACCATCTTATCCAATACAACTGTTCGAAACTTCGGATAAAGCCCTCGAGAAAATCCCCAGTCTCCAAGTTTCGTATAAGAGGTTCGAAACTCCATCACAGGGTTCAAAGTTTCATAATAATAATTCAGAGTTCATTACTGTCGGAAAGTGCTTGTACGTACGCCACGATGACACACACACACACACACACACACACACACACACACACACACACACACCAGGTAGTAAAGGTAATTAGGGCCAGTCAACCCTAAGGAGACTACACGTCGTGTTTCACTGTCACCAGCCAGCTGTACCTCCACCACCGCCTGCTGCTAGTGCCACCTTTGTACCTTAACACACACACACACACACGAACACACTGCACAATGCTAGATTAACAAGTCCATGTCCACCCTCCTCCCCTACACCCCCTCCCCTCTCCCCAACCTCCACACCCTCTCCCCAACACCCCACACCCACACCCCAACACCCCACACCCCACCTGTCATCTACCAAGACCCATATGATAATGAGGTTCAAGTCTCCTCTTTAAACACAACAGTACAGGTTCAGGTATTTCCATCATTTACCTGTGTGTTAATTAGTGGTTTAACCTGTGACTTGGCTGTGTGGTTTTGTTTATGTGTTAATTTATAGTTGACAGGTTTGATTTTTTTTAATTCGTAATTTCACTATTTGTGTGACTTTGTATGTGTGTGATGAGTCATTGTTTTTATTATTATTATTATCATTATTATTATTTCCTTGTTGCTAGTAGTAGTAGTAGTATTTCCAGTAGTAGTAGCAATTATAGTAGTAGTAATGGTAGTAGTAGCAGTAGTGTAATGAGTAATTAAGAACAGTCACGCCTCTGCTATCCCTCACACTGCAGCAGAGCATTAGCAGACCTACTTAGCAGAACGGGGGACAGAAAGTCATAAATCATCACATTGCAGAGGAGAAAAAAATAATGACCACATTAATTAGCAGAAAGCAGGAGAAAGGTATACGAAATATACCTGCTAGCATTGACACTTCATCCGGCAGCAGAAACAAGCAGAGAAGCATTAAGTAGGAAGAAGCAGTAAAATGTCTAGTAGAATTAAAAAAAAATTGCCAAAGTGGTGTAATGGGGCTGTTAGTTAGCAGAGCGGTGAATAAATACCACTAATGAGAACCGTATATTAGTGGTGTTGGCGTGGTGTTGGCGTGGGGGTGGCGTGGGGGTGGCGTGGGGGTGTTGGCGTAGGGGTGGCGTGGAGGGCAGTGACTAATTGTCCCTTAACCGGACCTTATACCGGATTCGTTTACAATGGGATTCACTCAGAACCGAATCCACCCATAACCAGAATCGCTAAGAAATGGACTTTCATACATTGGATTCACTTATAACATGACTCACCCACAACCGGACTCATGCCCAACCGGACAGGCAAGGCAAGGCAAGGCAAGGCAAGGCAAGGCAAGGCAAGGCAAGGCAAGGTTAGGTAAGGAAAGGCAAGGTTAGACAAGGTTAGGTTAGGTTTTAGGCCTGGATCTGGGGATTGATTGAGTTCCATGGCGTAGCAGTAATGTACAGCACCTGCCTCACTAACACACAGGTAGTCTAATTAATTAACCTGGACAAAAGACTGATGATGGCGATGGGTACTTCCCTTTACACGTCATTAAGTACACGGGGGGACTGTGAACACATGGCGGGGGTATTACTATTAGTATTGGTAGTAGTAGTAGTAGTAGGTTAGGTTAGGTTAGGTTAGGTTAGGTTTGGTTTGGTTCCTTAATCATCAGGTGAAGTAAGGTAAAGATATCATTCTTCATATAATTCAATGTACTGTTGTACTTGTGTGTCAGTTCCTAAGCATATCCTATCTTACTGTCTCTCTCAAGCTTATGAACAGACCGACAAACACACACACATACAAAACACAGTCGACCAGGCATTTGTCAACATGCTCGAGTGTACACAGTGAGGTCAGTGAACTTGCACAAAGCAAAACACGTCGGGACAAATCGATTCGGCAGGTGGGTCAATTATTATATGGGCAACCCCTCCTCCCTTCACTCCCTCCCTTCTTCTATGTCTCTTGATTGTGTATTCAGTGCGTCCAGTCATGTAGTTCGTGTATAGTGCCTGAGGAAGTGTACTAATGTCTTATTGACCCAGAGAGAGTAGGAGGGAAGGAAGGAAGGAAGGAAGGAAGGGGGGAAAGAGGGAGGGATGGAGGGAGGAAGAGGAAGGAAGGTGTTATGGATCTTTTCGTTATTACGGGAAACAATATATTTTCTTCTTGCGCCCCTGGTTAAGTTAGGTTAGGTTATGCTAGGGTTAGTCAGGACAAACTAAGTTAGGTTAGATGAAGATAGGTAAAGTTAGATTAGGTTAGGTTAAGATAGGTTAGATGAGGTTCAGATGAGTTAGGTTAGGTTAGATGGGGCTAGGTTGACTTAGATTGATTTAGGTAATGCTGCGGCACTATAATCATATTTTTCCACAACACAGTTTCTGGTTAAGGAAGAAATCTTGCCCGTGGGGGATAGCGGGGAGCGGCTTGTTGACATTGCCCGACCCTCCACTCAAGGAACACCTTCCCAAATATTACCTGTGTGTTGCTACCTGTCGAGTGCATATAGTTAACTTACGTGTATAGTAGTCAATGATGTATCCCTTTAAGGCATTAGTTAATTTTAGTTATTATCATTAGTATAAGCGACGATAATTATAGTACAAAGGATTTACTGTTTTTTTATCTGAATGAGAATCTGTACCAATATTTGATGTGTCTTATTAGTACTGGTTGTTGTTGATGTTTATGGAGGTAATTATGAAATAATAATAGTAACGATATTATTATTATTATTATTATTATTATTATTATTATTATTATTATTATTAATGATTTCCTGTTTTGACCCTCCAGCTCCCCTCCCGTATATCATTACCCCCCTCCCCCCTCCCCCCTCACTGCCCCCTACCTAAGGTGAGCATATCTGATGGCGGGAATGAGTGCCAGTGAGGCGTGTAGGCCTAGATTACCTGATTACTGTACACCTATACTTCA